GCCATCCAGACTGCAAGTAGAGTCTTCCGGAAGTAACGCAAAGAGACGTGGAGCAGGATACAGTGGAACCTCGACTTACGTACGGCTCTACTTACGTACGATAAGTATGATAGCCATGTTCAAATATATAAAAGGATGTCACATAGAGGAGGGAGAAAGGTTGTTTTCTGCTGCTCCAGAGAAGTGGACACGGAGCAATGGATCCAAACTACAAGAAAGAAGATTCCACCTAAACATTAGGAAGAACTTCCTGACAGTAAGAGCTGTTCGACAGTGGAATTTGCTGCCAAGGAGTGTGGTGGAGTCTCCTTCTTTGGAGGTCTTTAAGCAGAGGCTTGACAACCATATGTCAGGAGTGCTCTGATGGTGTTTCCTGCTTGGCAGGGGGTTGGACTCGATGGCCCTTGTGGTCTCTTCCAACTCTATGATTCTATGATTCTATGAAAACAAAGAGCAAGCCTTTTAAAAACTAACATTTCCAGAAGGGTCTGGACATTTATGTTCACATCCTTTATAAATCCTAGAAGGGCACAAGGCACTTACATTCCAGTAATTAACCATACAGTTTGATGTATGTTTATTTGGAGATAAGCCCCCTGGCCCTGATTTCAGTAGGATTTAACTACAGTGGTACCTCAGGTTAAGAACTTAATTCGTTCTGGAGGTCCATTCTTAACCTGAAACTGTTCTTAACCTGAAGCGCCACTTTAGCTAATGGGGCCTCCCGCTGCTGTCGCGCAATTTCTGTTCTCATCCTGAAGCAAAGTTCTTAACCCGAGGTACTATTTCTGGGTTAGCGGAGTCTGTAACCTGAAGCACCTGTAACCTGAAGCATCTGTAACCCGAGGTACCACTGTACCTAGCAAACAGATGTGCAATCAAGGTGAAATGCAGAACTAGAAATCCTATATAGCCTGTAGTGTTTTAAGCTATCATGACCCTCTGGCAGGCTGTCAGCTCCAAGGCTGGTCCGCCCCTGGGGTAGGTAGGTCAGCAGCAGTTTGAAAGGCTGGTCATCCAATAGGATGTAGGGGTGTGCATGTGATAGAGCGGGAGGTTGGGTGGGTGGCCCAATGGCTTGGAAGGTTAATCTGGTGCACAAGGAGCTGATGTTGTCAGAACTAAGAACTTCTAGCACTGTGTGAAGCTGCCTTGTTTGGTGAACATCCACAATGCAAACAAATGCAAGGCTCTGTATTTAGGCAGGAGTAATCAACTTCACAAATCTAAGATGGAGGACACCTGGCTTGCCAGTAACATGTGTGAAAAGGATCTAGGGGTCTTAGTAAACCACAAGCTTGACATGAGTCAACAGTGTGAAGCAAAAGCAATAAAAAGAGAGACAAGCTAATGCTAGGCTGCGTCAACAGAAGGATAGTGTCCGGATGCAGGGAAATAATAGCTCTACTCTATTCTGCCTTGGGCAGACCACACCTGAAATACTGTGTCCAATTCTGGGCACCACAATTTAAGAATGATATTGACAAGCAGGAAGGTGTGCATAGGAGGGTGACCAAGATTTTAAAGGGTCTGGAAACCAAGCCTTATAAGGAACAGTTGGGGGAGTTGCATATGTTTAGCCTGGTACGATATGAGGAGATATGATAGCCATCTTCAAATATCAAAGGGCTGTCACATGGAAGATGGAGCAAGCTTGTTTTCTCCTGCTCCAGAGTGTAGGACCCAAGCCAATGGATTCAAGTTACAAGAAAGAAAATTCCAACTAAACATCAGGAAGAACTTTCTGGTGGCAAGAGCTACTCCACAGTGGAATGGACTCCCTCGGGAGGTTGTGAATTCTCCTTCCTTGGAGGTTTTTAAGCAGAGGTTGAATCTCATTTAGTGGAGATTCTTGCATTGCAGGGGGTTGGAATAGATGACCCTTGGGGTCCTTTCCAACCCTGCAATTCTGATTCTATGATTCGGCTGGAGCGTTGCCATACAACAGATAGCTTTTATAAGTTTCTCACTAGGAGCTATCCATGGTGCTGCAACACTTCAGTTGCCTTGCTACCTTCACTTCTCTGCGGAATCAGAGCAAGGTAAGAGCAGGGAGTAAAGCAGGGATCAGCAAACTTTTCAGCAGGGGGCTGGTCCACTGTCCCTCAGACCTTGTGGGGGGCCGGACTATATTTTTTGGGGGGAAATGAACGAATTCCTATGCCCCACAAATAACCCAGAGATGCATTTTAAATAAAAGCACACATTCTACTCATGTAAAAACAACAGGCAGGCCCCACAAATAACCCAGAGATGCATTTTAAATAAAAGGACACATTCTACTCATGCAAAAACATGCTGCTTCCCAGACCGTCTGCAGGCCGGATTTAGAAGGCGATTGGGCTGGATCTGGCCCCTGGGCCTTAGTTTGCCTACCCATTTAAAAGACACCCCACCCTCTCTTTCAAGAATAATCAAGAGGGACTAGAAACATGAAAAAGTAAGCAATGTTCTCCTGCCCAACTTTAAAGAGCTAAATTTCTGGATTTGGGCTCCCACCTTTTCTTCTGCTAGCGGCTGTCTTTTTTTTTCTGAAAAAGGACTAGGATTTTGTTACCAAGGGACAGTGGTGAGGGGGTTTGAGTGCTGGCTACCAAACTTTCCCTACTTTTTCCTGGAAGGTGGTGTGTGTGTGTGTGTGCGTGTCAAATTAGAACCATGTGAATTAGTCTAGTATTAGAGAACTCATCCTGTGGTCAAAGGTATAAAGCCCACCACCCTCTACCAACCCACCCACCCTGCTCATCCCAGCAATCTGGTTTAAATTGAGGGTCTTTTACTGCAAAACATAAACCCAACACCCCACAATTCAGTATAAATTACATGATTAATGCCATGTGTCGTTTGACCCCTAAGTTAAATAAATAAACTTTGGCCTGGGCTGTGCCAAATAATGTACTTAGGAAGAAGAAACAGAAGTATTATTATTATTATTATTATTATTATTATTATTATTAATTATAATTATAATTATAACTATAATTATTATTATTATTATTATTATTATTATTATTATTATTAAAGGTTTTCTTGGTTTACCAAAGTAGGTGCAATCTCTATCTCTTTTCTTCCAAGTTACATTTTTACAGATCAGTTTCATTTGTTGAGACATTAGTGTAGTGTTACATTCGGAAGAAAAAGGGGGGGAGGTGGAGGGGGAAAAGGTGAGTGGGACGGGGGTGGGTGGTGATGTTTCTATTTTACTTAATATATGTGTTAGGTTTAGCGTTAGTGTCGCTTGTGTAGGTTCTCTGCTATTTCTTGTGTTCCTTTGGTGGTGAGAGAGGATGGGAATGGCCTAGGGTGTGGTTGTTCATTTGTGATTGGTTGTTAACCAATAAACTGAAAATGACATGGGGACAAATAGAAGAAGATGCCTTCACCCCGGTATGACTTCCCTTTATCACATACACAGCCCAACAAGACAACGACAAAAACCCACCAACAGCATACAAACCAATATGACTAACCTGATCCAAACACCCACCCACCCCACTCACACATGAAAACAGAAGTTGCTTTTGAAGCCCAAAAGCTGGATTCCTCACAAAATGCAAGCTGATTCTCAGCTTCCCTGCTCTAGCATCATTCCTTGCCACCTGTTGGGGGTTGTCTGCAACTGCTTGTTAGGAATGGCATGGGAAGATTGTATGAATTCTCCCCCAGGAGATCAGCAGCCCCCAGCAACATCAACTGAAAACCGCCAAGCAGCAAAGACAGCAATCGCAATAAAGGCAAACAACGTTAAAGGAGCTGCCAGAGATGAAGCAGGAGAAAACACGGGAGTGTTTTCATTGTTCTTATATGAAATAAATAATGCCACTCTGAATGAAGATCAAGATTCCTATTTGTGCTCTCTGCAGCTCCTTTTCATCCCAGGTACAGCAGCTGAAATGATGATACATTTGCTGTTTGTTGTTGCTTTTGCTTTTCGTCAAGCACATCTCTCTGTTTCACGGGAAGGGCGCCTTTGCCACCCATTTAATGCTCCCCTCCCCATTATAGTAGCCTAGTTGCAGAGCTTGTGCTTTGCATGCAGAATGTCCCAGGTTTAATCCCCAGGATCTGCACATAGGACTATGAGACACCTCTGTTTGAAACCCTGGAGAACTGCAGTCAGCCAGTGTAGATAATATTGAGCTGGAAGGATCAATGGGATGCCTCTGTACAGTGGCACCTCTGGGTGCAAATGGGATCCGTTCCGGAGCCCCGTTCACATCCTGAAGTGAACGCAACCCACGTCTGCGCGTGCGCAGGTTGCGATTCGCTGCTTCTGCACATGCGTGTGATGTCATTTTGACCGTCTGCGCATGCGCGAGCAGTAAAACCGGGAAGTAACATGTTCCGGGTCGCCCCGGAACGTAACCTGAAAATGCTCAACCTGAAGCAACTTCAACCCAAGGTATCACTGTATAAGGCATCTCCTGTGTTCTTCCTGGTTTCCTTAGTGAGAAGGCTGGTTTCAGGCTTAGGAAAGGATGTGGACAAACGCCGGTTCCCTCAGCCTGAAAGCAAGATGAGCGCCACAACCCCATAGTCGCCTTTGACTGAACTTAACCATCCAGGGGTCCTTTACCTTTTTTTACCTTTACCAGTCACAGTGGCTACATTCTTCCTCCACTGTCCAGAGTCAGTATACCTTTGAATACCTGTTGCTGGGAAGAGTGCTGTTGCACTCAGGTCTGGCTTGCGGGCTTCCCATGTTCATCTGGTTGGCCGCTCACTGTGAGATCAGGATGTTGGACTAGATGGGCTTTTGCCCTGCTCCATCAAGCTCTTCTTACCTAGGACTCAGCTACATTAGCAAAGAAACTGTGATTTGAATGTGCTACAAACACACAACACCAGATGGCGCCAGAGAGCATGGAATTTTAAGGCACAGTTTTCCATAGAGATTTTTTTCTTTTGTTATAACAATCTAATTTCTGACATTTATAGTGTTTCCCCCCCTGTGTCTAGATCCACCCCTGGTGTAAGATAGCTTTCTTGTCCTTTGGAGAGGCTCTGCACCTCAGTGGTAGAACATCTGCTTTGCATGCAAAAGGCTGCAAGTTCAATCTCTGCCATTTCTTGGTAGGGCTAAAAAAGACTCCACTCTGAAATGCATAGAACTAAGCGGTGGAGTAGACAAAACTAACTTAGATAGACCAATGGTCTGACAAGGTGTAAGCCCCTTTTCTAAGGGGTGCTTATTTACTGATACTAGTGCACAAAACCCTGCACAGTTGGGGCCAGGATACCTAAGATATTGTCTGACGTCCTTCTATACCAAACTGCCTCCTATAGAGACCATCGCATCGGGAGGTCCATTTGATGCAATGCAGGAATTGGGCTTTTAATGTGGTAGCGCCTACCCTTTGGAAATCTCCCCATTATGCACAAGATATGCAAGATCTCTAAATTTTTTAGCACTTTCCCAACGAGACTTTTAAGTGGAGTTTCCTATCCCAATCTGCATCTGCATTGGTTTGACTTTTTTTTAAAAAAAATGTTCTTATTGATTTTTTTTAAAAAAACTGTTAATTGTTTGGGAACATTGCGTGGGAAGGCATTTGTAAATGAAATGAAATAAATAATAAATCCTCCATTTTTCTTACATGTACAGAATCCGATTTTGGAAATTAGCTCCATTTCCCAAGCCCGAGTCCAAATTGAGTCAAGAAGCGTTTGAATACCATCCTATTACTCGCTCTGACATTTCAAGATGCCGATTATGTCTAATCTCTAGGGAAGGGCCATTCTGAAAGTGTTCTCTCTCTCTCTCTCTTTTCTTCCCTTTGCCAAGTCATGGCGATCCCTCTGTCCAATTAGGCATTCCTGCTTGTTTGCTCCTCATTCTATCAATTCAAGAAATGGGACAAGGCTGAGGCTGTTATTAAAAGGCTTTAATCTTCTGAAGCCAAACACTTTTCCATTGCCCATTAAGGGTGATCTTTAAATGGTAAATATTTGCGCCTCTAAGATGGAATGTGGTTTTGCTAGCAAATCCATTTTTCTGCTGCATAAACCCATTTTTCCCTCTTTCTGTAAGACAGATTAAATCCTATGTTTTAGTATCTTATTTATTTATTTATAAGCCTTTGTAAGCTGCTTAATATTAAAAGGTAAAAAATCTGTAAGCGGTGTGCACTATGTACAATATAGAAACAATATCCATTATGACATAAATATGTCCTAAAGCCAATGAGACAGTATATAAGTATATAAAAATTAATAAAACAGAGTTTCAGGGGATTCAAACACATAAATCAGGGTCCAATCTTGTAGGTTAGGGAAAGCCTGGGCAAAAAGATAAGTCTCCATAAGACTTCAGAAGCAACTGATGGTTGATGCTTCACATATGGTCAAGGTATGGCATTCCATAGTACAAGGGCAATAGCAGAAGATTTCTGTTTTGGGATGACCACCGTGTAATATTATGTAGGGTGTAGTGCCACAGGTAGAATATCCCCAGATGACCTAAGTGAGTGTACAGGTGTATACAGGGACAGGTGGTCTTTCAGGTTAACCTGGTCCAGAGTTGTTTAGGGCTTTATATATTGTCATAGATCTGGGGTACCAGAAATTAAGAAATTGTAGCATTTAGATAATATTTGGGATATGAAGGGGAAATACAAACTGCAGAACTGTGCCGGACAAGAAATTACTGGGTTAGCTTATGCAAACCAGCCTGGCTGGGTTAGCAAGCTGCAGAGCCAAGTATTGGACCATGCAAAAACTATTTTTCCCCTATGCTCCAAGAAGTGGACAGAGACAGGAGATTTAGGAGGGTGTGGTGTCACACAGGAGGAAAAATGTGTCCCTTTTAAAACAGAGAGGTTTGGAGAAGGGGAGGGGCAGTTTAGCAATTCCATCAGTTTATTACGGTAGCAGACAAGCAGTTTAAAAATAGCTAAAGTGCAAAATTATAAAAGTAAGATACAATAATTATATTTTTAAAAAGCCAGAATAAGAGCAGGGAGACAAGAGTGGCTGACCAGCACGTTAAAACAACTAGGATTAGAAGGGGCGGCTTAGCAAAGGTTCTTGGGAAGGAGAAAGGAGAGATGTCAGAACTCCAGGGAGAGGCTATGCAGGGCAGAACCATCTTGGCAGGCTGGAACAGAGGCATGGGAATCACAGTCATTGCTCCACCCACATCTAGAAGGCCCTCCTCAAGGGACCCGCTTCCCTCAGGATGAAACACCTTCCCCACCCCTGTGGCAGGAAGGTGATTCGCAAGTTGCTAAGACCTTCCTCCCTTGTTGTTGTTTAGTCGTTTAATCGTGTCCGACTCTTCGTGACCCCATGGACCAGAGCACGCCAGGCACTCCTGTCTTCCACTGCCTCCCGCAGTTTGGTCAAACTCCTGCTGGTAGCTTCGAGAACACTGTCCAACCATCTCATCTGTCGTCTCCTTCTCCTTGTGCCCTCCATCTTTCCCAACATCAGGGTCTTTTCCAGGGAGTCTTCTCTTCTCATGAGGTGGCCAAAGTATTGAAGCCTCAGCTTCACGATCTGTCCTTCCAGTGAGCACCCAGGGCTGATTTCCTTAAGGATGGAGAGGTTTGATCCTCCCTTAGCACCAGCCATTTAGAAGTGAGAGTTTTTTTCTCTCTCTCAACACTGTGCCATCCCTCTAGGCTTGTTCACACACACACACTCCCCTTCTTTTTCTTTTGCAAAACTGTCATTTCATTCATGGCTCAGAGAGACTTCTTTCTTTCTTTAATGATGTGAATTGAGCTAGGTCTTCTATTGGGCTCGGGTAATTAGTGCTGGAGGACTCTGATTATCTCTTTGTACCACTCCTCAGCGTTTGACACAATCCCGCATAATAAGCCTCCTCTCTGACAAACGCCGGCTAGGCCCTGCCAGTCTCTCCTTGGAGGCTGGTGTGGTATGTGGAGTGAGGAGATGCTGGCATTCTGCCCTCGCCAGGTGCCAGCTTCATTTTTTCCTTATTAATACTCATTGGAGTATGGGGTGGGGGGTGGGGGGAGATAATGAACTGAATGGAGGAGATTCCCTTGCCTTATCTTTTTCAGCTGCTAAAGAAACACACATCGGAAGAGCATTTGGTCTCCCTTCCCTCCCTTGTCCCATTCTTCACCTTTCCCTTTCTGGAGTGTGCCGCATTATAATTAAAAGGCAAACGGATGGACGACAGCTCCCACAAACCAAGAGGCGCTGGATTAAATATTCAAGAGGCATCTTGTGAGGAGGATGGCTGGGGCGGGGGGGGGGGGGAGAGAGACAGAAGAGAGAAAGAAACAACCAATACACATACACACAACACAAAAACCCTATGAGCGAGGTTATTAAATAAAATCAAGCAATTTCGCTCAAATGGAATGGGGAATTAAAAGATGCATTCTGAACATAAAGCCGCAACAAAGGCATCATGATCAATTAAGAAACAAAAAAGGCTGTTATCTATGTCTCCCCGTATAAATAAGTGCCGTAAAGAGATTGTTAAGTAGGAGGTGGGGGAGTGGGGGAGAGCAAACAAATCAACAAGCCTTGGCGAAGAGGAGAGAATGACTAGCGAGAGCGAAGGACCTTGGGGAACACAGAACTCTAATTAGAGAAGCCGGCCATGCATTTGGTTATCTCTTCTGAGCAATGAATGGAGAAAGGATGGGGAGGAAGATGGTTGGGCCGTTTTTTGGCTGTGGACTCACCTGATCTGATTCTCTCCTGCCCTTGCATGAAGATCAGAACCCATCTTCCAGCAATGCCAGATTAAGAGCAGTGCAGGCAGTTCCCCACACAGGGCACTGAGCCAAGCGGGCAGATGATGATGATGATGATAATCAATACAGCCTATATTTATGTGGGTACCTCCTCAAAGTTAGGCCCCAATTAGACAGGATATTGATTTGCTGCAACTCTGAGAGCAGGCACAAAATGAAAGGCGAGAGGGAGGAGGGCACCAATTTTTGTCCTCACTCAGGGTGCCATATTACTAAAGTCTGCTGCTGCTGCTGCCAGTCAGATGGTAAACTTCTCCAGATTTTGCGATGCATTCTGGCAGGGTAGAAATGTGCACAAAGACATATTCTGCATTAATGAGGCATAAAAATTGTGTTTGCCTTTTGCAGTGGACTGACCCGATCCGAAACTCCAGTGCTTGCTTGAGGATCAGAAACACATCCCTAGTCATAGTGCATTGCACACCCAAAAATACGTTTTACCTGAAAGGTGCATATGAAATGCATATTGTGCTGGTGAATTTTTCAAAAAAAGCATTGAATTTTGCCTAAGAAGTGCATAATTTCCTTACAAAGTGTGCACAAAATGCTTGGACAGGGCAGAATTCAATACGTGTGGCACTTTTGTTACTTATCTTCAGGCACCAGGCAAAAACATTCTCCCGGACCTTTGGCAAATTAAGCCATCTATGACCTTTTAAACTAGGGTGGGGGTAATATTTTTGTTTGTCATTATGGTATGTACTTGTGTTTATATATTGTAAACTACAGAAATTTAACTAATTAATAACAGCATGCAGGAAAACCCTACAAGCCCCTCCCCAGTACTAAAAAGACAATAATAAATTAACTAACAATGCAATGCTCTTTCATCTTCCTGAGCCAGTTGTTTCACCCAGCCATACGGAGAGATGAGAGCCAGGGGCCCTCCAAATGTTGCTGTAGGCTTAAGCTGTTGGCTGAGGCTCCTTTCAACCTAAGCATGCTGGCTTAGATTGACAGGAGTTGTCCGACGATATCTGGAGGGCCATAGGTTCCCCATACCTTGCAGGGCCGTTGTAAGAATGATTGAGAGATCATGTGTGCAAACGGCTTGGAGCTCTCAAATGGTTCTCTAGGAGTGCAGCATTTGATTAAATTGTAATCTGGAAGTTTCCTCTGCCAGGTTTTTATTATTATTATTAAATATATAGACATATACAGAGAGAGAGAGAGAAATGTTTTAAGCCCAGACGCCTTGGAAGGCATTCAGCGAGGAGCATCAAAAACGAGTTACAGGTGCTGAAGAAGTATGACTTATGATGAAAGATTAAAATAACTAAATATGCCAAGCTTGGCAGCGAAATGACTTGAAGGTTGGGGAGATGATAAACGTCTCCAGATATTTGA